CCTGCCAATACCCCTTGGTAAGGTCAAGCTTTGAAAAATAGAAACACCCTGCAAGTCTGGAGAAAATATCCTCGGTGTTGGGCATAGGTTCCGCATCAAACACTGTTACCTTATTCAAGCTCCTGAAATCTATACAAAACCTATTACTCCCATCCTTTTTTTTGACCATAACGACTGGCGCAGAATATGGGGACATGGACGGTTCTATTACATCCATCTCAAGCATACTTTCCACTTCTTCCTTGATTATACTCTTCGTGTTAAAAGGAAGTGGGTAAGGCCTGACCCTCACTGGATCGTCTGTCGTTGTGATGATATCATGACTTGCAAGGTTGGTTCTTCCAGGTTTATCCGTCATAACGTCCTTGAACTCAGATAGAAGATTATTGACATCCTTCCTCTGTTCAGTGGTGAGATGCTCAGATACATTGACATCCTCAATTCCTTCTTTTCCTGCCCGCACTGGAAATGACTCCAATTCCCGATGGCATTCTGGTTCTAACTCATCCTCGTGCACTACAGCCGCAGTTACACAACAAAAGATTCTTCCAATATTTCCTGCTGCTTCCACGTCTTTCTCAAAGTACTTCTTCAACATATTGACGTGCAATGTTTTTTTCTTGCCTCCGATGTCTACTTCATAGTCCATCGGTCCCCGTTTCGCTGTCACAATGTATGGACCCCTCCACTGCATCAGCAGCTTATTGGTCTTAGTTGGCAGTAGTATAAGCACCTTGTCGTTTACATCGAGTTGTCGGTCCTTGGCCTTTTTGTTGTAGTATTTCCGTTGGCTCACCCTTGCTGTTCTTAGTTGTTCTTTTGCCAATTCGCAAGTCTCATCTAATCTCTCCCGTAGGTCCATTACATACTGATAAGTGGTTTTAACTTCGTTATCTGGTACTTCCTTCGTCCATAGTTCTTTCAGAATCATCATCGGACCTCTGATCGTTCTCCCATAGAGCAGTTCAAACGGTGAGAAACCTAAACTCTCTTGGGGTACTTCCCTGTAGGCGAAAAGCAAGGCATTCAAATACTTGTCCCAATCTTTTGGCCTCTCGGAACACATACGGCGCAACATCTGTTTGAGTGTTCCGTTGAACCTTTCTACTAGCCCATTACACATTGGGTGGTACGGGGTCGTAGTAAGGCGACGAATGGACAAAAGACGGCTGACCTCCCTCATCATCCCGGATGTAAATTGCGCTCCTTGATCGGTTAACATCTCCGATGGCACACCAACTCTACTAAAGATGTCGACCAAGGCTTCTGCCACTCTCTCAGTTTCTATTCCCCTGAGGGCTACCGCTTCCGGGTATCGCGTTGCGTAGTCCACAACGGTGAGGATGAAGCGATTTCCTCTGTCTGTTGCTGGTTGCAATGGTCCTACCAAGTCTACGGCAATCCTCTTAAATGGGGTGTCAATTAAAGGCATTGATCCTAAAGGTGCTTTTGTAATCCTCCCTTTTGGTACTGTCCTCTGACACACATCACATGACCTGCAGTAACGAACTACATCAGATTGCAATCCCGGCCAAAAGAACTCTGTCAAGGCACGGCTAGCAGTTCGCTTCCCTCCTTGATGTCCTGCCATAATAGAATCATGCGCTAGTTTGAGTACAGCCGGACGAAACTTGCGAGGTACCACCAACTGACGGAAGGTCTTGCCATTCGACACCTTAGGACTGTGGAATTTCCTGTACAGCAAACCCTTGTGATAGTACACCACTGACTTACCACCGTCGTTCCTTTCTACAATGTTCCCATCTTCAGCCAGCTTCCGAACTTTGCTCAATGACTCATCTTCCTGTTGCTCTTTCTTCAGGTTTTCTACATCACCAAGGTCTTTTAACCTCTGAGGTACCTTCAAGGGTTTACAACCTTGATCTCTCATTTGACGCTGAGCCCTCGTCTCCACAGCTTGTATAGTATCCTCGATCCGTTTCCAACTCCCATCTGGGCGATCAGGTGGCCTGGCTCCATCCACATTTCCAATAATCACATCATATAGAGGAGTGTCAAGTACCCAGGCTTTTACTGATCCAGTAAGATATGGTGTATCAATTTCCACTTCCGCGATGGGAACTTGTATACGGGATCCATCTGCTAGAGAACACAACTGATTCCTTTCCGTCATTTGCGAAGACTTCACCAAACTCCTCCTTACCACAACTCCACTACAGCCACTATCTCGTAAGACAGTCACGAAGCGTTCTCCAATGCATCCCCTTACAACAGGCATACTCGTCGCTACGGATAAATCAGCGTTGCAAGACTCGCTAAGCGCCGGGGTGTTTGTGCTGACAACACACGACGAACCACCATAATGTTTCCTTCTTTGGTTCTTGCGCTTTCCTTTAGCCTTTCCAGCTACAGAAGCATGTCCTGTATTCACCACGGTTCTGTAATCTGTTGTCTGTATCTTGCCTTCTGTCTCTACAGTTTCTGTCATTCCAGCTACCCGGTTTCCCGACTTCTTGTTAGGGCATTCGAAGGATTTGTGTCCTGATTGGAAGCATTTAAAACACATTGGACCCTTCGCAGCAGAGTTCTCTTTCTTATCACTGGTCTTGTAGTCAGAAGAGTTAGCGTTGTGTTGCTTGTCACCAGATTTCGACGGTCGCGCCATCATCGCGTTAGTCTTCGCTCCTCTGGCCTCGGCAAACTGATCTGCCAATCTCGCCATCTCTTGCATTGATTTTGGAACGCGTTCCCTGAGAAACAACGCCAGTTCCTTTCCACAGCAGTGCAGGAACTGGTCCCTTACCATTAAATCTTTCAGATCATCATATGCCTTCTGTGTGTTCGTCATTTCAACCCACTTCTGCAAATATCCGTCCAACCTAATCGCAAATTGACCAAAGGTTTCACCAGGATCCGGTCTCTCATATCTGAAGCTTTTCCGAAATCCCTCTTCGGTTTTCTCAAACCTCCGTAAGAGTGCTTTCTTGAGAGTGTCAAAATTCAAAGAATCCTCCACTGACAAACGTGTGAAAACGTCTAAAGCCTTTCCCTTCAGTAAAGCTCCAAGATTAGCTCCCCACTGATTCTGAGGCCATCGTTGCGCTGATGCATACCGAACGAATCGTTCTATGTAGGCGTCTATGTTGTCTTTCCCATCTTCGAAGGATGGGAGCTTAGGTCCTCTAGCACCTGCTGGTGTGGGACTTGACCAACTGCGTTAGTAGCATCGGTAGAACCCGCCTGGAGTAACTTCATTTTCCTTTTGTGTTCTCTCTCGGCCTGTGCTTCTTCCCGGTCTGCACGTTCCCTCCCTAACTTATCCAACTCAGCTGCAGTTCCGAGTTTAATTTTCTCCAACTGCACTGCCTCTTCTACCTCGGCTTTCTTCCGTTCCCTTTCTGCTTCCCTTTCATCTCTCTCCCGAGCTTGTTCTGATTTCACAAAGCTCTGAAGCTCCGAATCCCTATACCCTAAATCCTTTCCTACCTCCATTAAGTCCCTTATCGATGTCATGGTGAAAAACAAACAGGGGGTAGCACACAAAGGAAAAAGACAAAATAAGACTGCACAGATAAACAGCACAGGGTAACACTTACCAAACAGGCTTCGCTTGGTCCTCGGGAACTCGCAATTCTTGTACTTACCTGTCGCATGCAGCAACCTCCAGGTACGTAATAACAGCAAATAACACTAGCGACCAAAACCAAACCGCGCATCAACAACTATCCAAGGAATGTTTTTCTTACACTATCATATAACACTATTGGTGTTCCAATCCCAAAAGAGACAAACGTGACTGATCCCACCGCTGCCACCAATTTTGTAACGCGGGACAAGCGAGGTTGATCTCCAATTAAGGAAAAGAAAACTCAATAACGTATAAGTTCAACAAAATACTAAAT